ACCCGTCCCCTGCTTTCTTTCGAATTCAACAAACGCCTTCCACAAACAACGCTTTCCTTCTGAACGCTACATTTGTGGCGGGCCTTTAAAAAAGGGGGGACGACTGTACAATTTATGCAGAGGAACAAACGGGCCACGTTTTTTCCCTGCGGGGCGCATCGTGCCTGCTGGTTAGCTCTATTATCACCTTCTGACAGCTAGCGGGTCAGCCTCACGCGCCAGGTCCTTGGCAGCACGTACAGCCTTCATTTTTCACCCGCTGGAGGATAGGGCGAATTTACTTTATAGGAGCGTGCAAGTGGGAAGCTCAAGCTTTGAAGATCAAGGGGGCACCTCATCTTGTCACACACAGAACACAACCAGAGAAAAGAAAACCAGATAAAATTCGTGGAAAAAAAAAAAACAGGAGCAAGTCACCACACTTCTGCAGCTCCCTTTCTGTGTGTGAGTGTGAACACGCCAGACGACCACGTGCGCCCCGCGTGAACATCTAGCCCTCTAATTACTCACGACCTCTTGGAGCTTTGCCGGCCGCTCTGCATTGGGTCTGTCGCGAGCGAAGCAGCCGGAGCGTAGCGCGCATCGAGATAGGAACAGCTTTCAAAGCTTTCTCGAAATTTCTAAGGAAAAAGGCACCAGCTGTAGTGGGTGTGCCTGGTATTCGTTGTTGCTTTCGTCCGTGGGTCGGCCTGGATGCCAGGGGATCGCGGGCGAGCGACGCACCTGGCAACGCCGTCGTGCGGCAGCAGTAGAGGCGCCGCTCTCTGGCAAAGCAAGGGCCCGGCGAGGGGAATGTCGCACGTAAATTGGAAGCTAGGTGAACAACGGGATGGTAGCAATGAAGGTGAGCAAGCAGCCAAGGTCTTTCCGTCCCAGCGACGAGGCCGGGGGGGGAGAGTTGAGGGCCCCTCGTTCGAAGTCTACACGTGCCGGAGAAGGGGGTTGAGGTGCTTCGGCGCACTGCGTTACCTTGACACCATCTCACTGCTGTTGGTCGTTCTCTAGTCGCACCCGCTGCGTGCGAGCTTCGTTTTCTGCTCCACTGAATATCTGGACCAAATCCGACACGCGTCCTGTCCTGTTTGGCCTGGCGAGCGCGTTGTCGCGATTCCTCAGTTGCTCCTTGCACTATAGAACGAGTGTTTCCAATTTCGCAATGCCGCACCCTCGTATCTGTGGAGCGTTCTCCCCTCCGCTCTTGCCGAATGCTCCATGGCTACGCGCTTCCGTTCATGCTACCGCACGCGAGGCGTCGATCGTGATAGTAGCTCGACGAACATATCCAAATTAAGTTTGTCTGCCCTGGGAAACAACAACATGAACGCCACTTCTTCTCTCCAACCCAGTGAAAAATGGACAGTCACCCCCCACAGGATTCGCGCAATTTTTTCACCGCCCATCCTTCGCACTTGCCCGCCCAACCCATCCTTTGAAGTCGCGCACATCGCTCGTGGCGTCAAGCTCTTGTCCCCCCCCCCCCCCCCCCCCCC